GATGCATGATATTTGTATAGCCCCCACCACATATGTATTTCTTTTAAGATAATCACTTCACTTAATCCTAATCAGAAAGACTAAACCCTTAATAACATTATTTTATGTTTTTTGAAAATTTTATTCTTCATCTCCTCTATGTTGTTTGCTGCCTAAGAAAGATCTATCGTAAGTCATAACTCATAATAAACTATAGTCATTTCTAACACTTGTTTTCTGAATTCTGTACTAAAAGAACAAAAAAAAAATAACGTCAACAAACAAATACTAATGAAACATAGGATTAATATATGTAGTGAAAGTTGAGCTAAGATCTAAAATCGAGAAATTTTATGAGGTTTTAAAGGATGGGAAGAAGGTTGGGTTGGGCTCGGGCTCGGGCTCAACCTGAGCCCAACCCAACCTGAAATTGACTTTTGGTTGGATTGGTTTGGATTGGGTTAGGGTTGAAGGAATTTAGTTAGGGTTAGGGTTAGGATTGGGTTGGTCGGGTTGAAGGTCGGGTTGGGTTAGGGTTAGGGTTAGGGTTAGGGTTTATAACTTAGGGTTGGGCTAGGGTTGGCCTCAACCCGACCTAACCCGGTCCGACTTGCAGCCCTACCTATGGTCCTTTTTCTCCTCCCCCAGCTCCCAAAGAAAATCTCTCATTAATTTTTCCAATCGCCTAGTTATCCCCTCTAAAACTTTGAAAACTGACAAAAAGTAGACTAGCAAGTTGGCTAATGCGGATTCAATCAATGTGACTCTTCCCCCAAGAGATAGGTAACCTCTCTTCCAAGAAGCAAGTCTCTTTTCAAATCTTTCTACAACCAGGTCCCCAAAAATTTCTTTTCATATGGTTATCTCCTAGGGGCAATCCTAAATACTTCAATGGCCAATTAGACACTGCACACCATAGGATACATGCATACTCTACCACCTCCCCCTTCAAATTTATTCCTACTATATATATTTTTCAAAATTCCTACTACTTATATTGTCCATTTTTTAAGTGTGAAAGTTGTGAATTAGCATTGTAGAACAAGTTTTATTTTGAGTAAATAAAAGAAGCAATTCTTTTAAAATTGCAAATGCTTGGAGCTTTATCATATTCCTTCTATTGGGGGTTATATTTATAGATGATTTATCCAAATTCTCCTAGTTATATCTTATGCATTCTCAACAATAAAAATAAAAAAATAAATAATCTTGTGCATTCTTGTGATGAGGTTCCCACACTAACTAGTTATTTTCATGAGATGATTCTTACACAGCTTAGTACTAGGATCAAAATTTTCAGCTCAGATAATGTAAAGTGTTTTTCACAAAACCTTTATCCTATTACCTACTTGAATATTGTGGTATACATTAAAGTACATGTTCTTACATTTCACAACATGATGGAGGTACTAGAGGGAAAGAACAAGCACATCATGGAGGTGGAAGAGTATTATGTTAAATGCATGTGCTCCCATAAAATCCTAGGGGGATTCTACAAGGATCATCGTCCATGCCTTATCCCAACCATGTGGGGTCAGCTACATGAATCCTAGTTCACCAATCCGTTCTATTTAAAGCCATGTCCACTATTAAATTATTAGTGTTTAAATCATTTCTTACTACTTCTAACCATATGGGGTCAGCTCTTCTAACCCAAATCACTTCTTCTAACTAGCACGGTTGGTGGTCTTCTATGCACGTGCCCAAACCATCTTAGTCTACTCTCTCTCATTTTATCACCTATTGGAGCTACTCCTAGGTTCCTACAGATAACTTCATTCGTAATCCTATCCTTTTTAGTTTTTCCACTCATTCATGTTAGCATTCACATTTCTGCCACATTCATTTTTCGAACATGTTTCTTGACTGCCCAACACTGCTCCATACAACATAGCAGGCCTTACAACTGTTTTATAGAACTTTCCTTTTATAATCTAAGTGATATTTGCCTATTACATGAAAGTCCAGATGCAACCCTCCATTTTGCCCATCATGCTCTAATTCTTTGGGTGGCATCCTCCCCAATCTCTCCCTTGTATTGAATTATTGAACCAAGGTACAAGAAATGGTCACATTGAGTCATCTCTTGGTCTCCACTCCTAAATGTATGTTGATTTACACTTCTATCACTACTAAATTTTCATTATTAATAGAGTTCCTTCTCAAGTTGTAAGGAAGAAAATACATTTTAGTCTTTTACATCCCCATGATATGGTTTTGCTTGCACATATCAAGGGTTTACATTAACTTGCTTTGCTCATAATATTAGAACCTTGTTGGTATAAATTTGATCCTAAGGATACCTAGTGTATCTTTCTCCAATATACACAAAATCAGAAGAAGTATTAGTATTATGATCCTTTAGATAGCTCCTAGTATGTTAAAATGGATGTAACCTTCTTTGAGGATGTGTCATACTATCCTAGTGTTTCTTCTCAAGGGAAGTATGGTGAGAAACATGTGTTTACTCTAGATATTCCATTGCTCTTCCAATTTTTAATTCAGGACATCTTTATGAGTAGTTTTATCTCCTACTCCATAGGAGTTATAAGTGTATCAATGGTGTAAAAAAGTTTATTCTAATCCTATGATTATGCCTTAGCTAATCACACTCAATTTAAGAATACAAAATCAACTATGCAGTCTCCTACTATTTTTTATTTTCAGATTCCTAATGCCCTATGAAAAGGCAAAAGCCACTTCTACAACTCATTGTATATCCAAGTATCTGTCCTATCACTTGCTATCACCTATCCATTGTGCTTTTCTTGATTCTATTTTCTCTGTTTTGATTCCAAGACTGTGCAGGAAACTCTTGCTTGAGCGAAGGGATGTGATGCAAGTACAGATGGATTCCCTTTTACTGGTAGTTTGTCAACTTAGTAGAAGTCAAGGAACCAACAGGCTGTAGATGGGTGTTTATATTGAAATATAAAGAAAATGGCACTATTGAGAGGTGTAAGGCATGACTGATAGCAATACTTGAGCAATATGATATTGATTATTTAGAGAAATTTGATCCAATAGCTAAGATGAGTTCTATTGAAGTATCATTGTGTCTTGCTGCCTCCTATTATTAGCCTCTTTTTCAACTTGATGCAAAGAATGCATTTTTTATGAAGAATTACATAAAGTCTACATGGGATTAACTCCAAGGAAAAATAAGGAGTTAGGAGCATGCAGATAAAAAAGATCACTATATGGACTAAAATAGTCATTTAAGGCATGGTCTGATAGGTTAAGGGGCTTTGGGGAGATTTAGATAGACTCACAGTTGAATTACACTCTTTTCTCTTAAAAGAAGTGGTGCTTCATTGACCATTTTGATTGTGTATAGGGGTGTCAATTGGACTGGATTTGGTCCAATCTGATCCAGTCCAATGTGAGTCCATTACAAATGGACCAGGTCCAATCCAATGAATATTTTGGAGCATTTTTGGACCGGTCTAATTCAATGTCTGGACCGTCCAATCTGTTCAAATTCGTTTTAATTTAGATTGGTTTCAACCCAAATCTCGTCCATTGACACCTATACTCTTATCTTATTTCAATGGACCAGATATTGGCTTAATCCAACCCAATCCGATATAAATTTATTATGGACGGACCAGAACCAAATCAATTTAATAAATATTTTGAACCGGATTGGTCCAATCCAATGTCTTGTCAGTCCATCCAATCCGTCCAAATTGATTTTGGACTGGATGGGATCCAGTCCAAAACCGGTCCATTGACACTCTTAATTGTGTATGTGGATGATACAGTGGTGTGGTGACTAAAAATAACACTTCTAAGATTGATAGCCTCAAACAACTTATCCAAAAATATATATATTAATAATCTCATTCAATTTCTAAATGAAGAGTTTGAGATTAAAGATCTTAAATAGCCCAGGTATTTATTTGGAAATTGAGGTAGCTAGTAGCTAGTAGGCCCAAGGATAGTATGTTATTATCTTTATATCTCGGAGGAAATATGCACTTTGATTTGCTTCAAGTGACAAGGTGGGGGTTAAAACTATTGATACACCAATTAATCAGAACCACAAGTCAAATGTAGGAGAAATGCTGAAAGATGGAACTATACACCAAATATTGGTGAGGTGATTGCTTTATCTTTATATTACCCAACCTAATATAACTTATATGATTGGCATTATCAATCAGCAAATGCATGTTCCTATTCCTAAGAGTACTCATCTAGCTACAGCAAAAAGAATTCAATCTTATTTGAAAGGTTGCCCTAGTAAAGGTAGATGTTCTACTTCTGGTTATTGTGCTTTGGTTGGAAGAAATCTAGCATCATGGAAGAAGAGCACAAAACAAAGTGTAGTAACTCATTCCAGTACAGAAGCTAAGCCATGGCACATGGTGCTTTTGAAGTTGTGGCTGGAATAACTCATGGGAGAATTAGGTGTTTCCTTTGAGGATCCCTTGATAGTATTGTGATAACAAGCAGAAACAAATATTGTTCAACAAACAACTATTAACACACATATATATGCCAAGTAGCTATAAATATTGTTCATAGTTCTATACAGCATGAGAGAACCATATTGAGGTGGACAGGAATTTTATTTGTGAATATGATTGGGCTATAACCATGTTAACAAATCATTTCCTTAAAAGAAAAATAAGAATTCAAAATACTAAAATGTAACTTCAACAGGCATAGTAAGCTCCTAAACTCAAACAACCTATGATTAAGCATGGTTTCAAAGTGCCCCAAATACCATTAAGCTGTCAAATACATGTTAACAAATCATTTCCTTAAAAGAAAAATAATAATTCAAAATACTAAAATGTAACTTCAACAGGCATAGTAAGCTCCTAAACTCAAACAATATGATTAAGCATGGTTTCAAAGTGCCCCAAATACCATTAAGCTGTCAAATACTTGCTTCAAAACATACAGATAAAACCAACCAAATGTGGACAATGTGCCACACTATAATACCAGTAACACTTGGTTCCTAGAGAAATAAACTTGGAGCAAATTCCTATCAAACATTATATACATACCAATGGATTTGTATGTATTTGTATCATCAGTTAATTGTCGCAGTTCCTCCAATGTAAGGAAAGCGCGTTTCTTTTCTCCTTCCTTGTTACGCATCTGGTTCTGTACCTGAAATGAAAGATTTGATAAGAATGAATTCAAAATAGCTGGTTCAGTTTAGATTACCATTACTGTTACTGTATTGATATCATTAACCCACATAAAGAATGAAAGCTTTCTTTTCTGTGATACTATCATTCTTGTCAGTTAAAGACTAGATGTTTGTGCTCCATTCTAGCTCATTGACCAAATGAATGAATTTTGTTATTGTACATCCAACAAAGAAAATATCTACAGAATGTGAAGAGAGAATATATAACCAAGTAATAAATTGAACGCCTATCAACAAAGGCATATGAAAAAGACCCTACCTATGCAAGAAATCCTAAATTCTTGAAGCTCCAGAATTATAAATGCATTCAATCTACTACAAAGATTGAACCAGGGAAGTGCAAATCCACTTTCTTCTTGGTCTGAGACCATCAAAACCAGCCCTCAACCGCATTATCCATGGAGATCAAGCACAAAAGAACCCTCTCCAGACAGTTCTATCTACTCACATCAACACCTAAAAATTTTGTTGAGAGCAATCTATTGTTTTGTTTATTTGACCTAGGTATTATTTTTTTCTTATTATTACTTGAATTGGGTAGTTTGGGAAGTTTATTGTTTACATAATCAGGGGTGTACTTGTAAATTCAACTTTATGTGCTAATCTATACATAGAGACCTCACAGCTGGGAGAACTGGTTTATCTCTTCAATTCAGCAGGTTCTTTTCTTCCCCTAACCTGCTCTTGTTCCTCTCTTTCTTTACTGCTTTCTCCTTTCTTATCTCTTATATTTTCTACTATATTCACTCATTTAGTTCTGAGTCTTCTGACAACATACTAGAGATTTCTGCTATTATACTAGAAATCTCTACATGGTATCAGAGAAGGGTTCATACCCAACAAGCTCTTCTTTCTGCGATCCGGCTTTCTCTTCAAGGGTAAGATCTGTGACTTGTGATCTGATTTTCTCTTCAAGGATAGTATATGTAACCTGAACCTAGACCTTGATCATTCACTCAGAAGAGATTTGAAAAGCCAATCAGATCTAGTTGGTTCTCAGAACAGTCTGAGATGATTTCATCCATCACCACAGGCATTTATAGTTGTCAGTGATGTGTTTCCCTCTATTGGATCATACGGAGAGGAAGTATGGAATTCATTGTGCAATGGTGAATTAGCTGTGAGGCATGGTATCCACAATATGTAATGTGACTGGTTATTTGTGAGGTGAAGTGAGAATTACTAGTGAACAGAATTAGTGCAATATGAAGTTACTTTGGTCTTGGTGCATTGAGTAATATCTGTGGTACAGATTGGTTCAAACATTTTATAATCATGCTACCCACTGACCTGATGCACATTCAAATGAAATCCATCAAGTTAAATGGAAGTAAGTAAGTAACCATGCTGTGTGCAAAGTCATTGAAGTTTTCCTCACTGCCAAGAGTAAAATGAAGTACTTGACCACTAAGAAACCAGATTCAGAGAGTTCGAACTAAGATGGTCAGCCTATGATGAACTTAATATCTATCAACCTATAACATCAGATAATATTGTGATGGCACAAAGAAAAGACATTTATGTGGTGAACATTTTATCAGGAATAAAGTCTGAATTTGAACTACTCCAGGCTCATATCTTGGCAGCACAAAAATGTCACCTCTAGAAAAGGTTTTCTATTGACTTCAATAAGCCAGATTGCCTGGTATGATTCCAGATCTACACCTAGAACAGACCGTTCTGTTCTTGCTACTTCTGTCAGTTCATGTCAAAGGGATCATGATGCTTTAGAGGAAGCTGCGGTGTCATGGTAAAACTGTACCACCAGGTGGTGTGAGGTGACATTGGTGCTGGTCGTGGTCATAGAAGAACCACAAATACAAGCTTTTAAACCCATTGTGGCTTGGAAGGACACATTATTGGTTATTATACAGATCCATATGGAGTTCATTTTTGTAGGCATCATAATCATGAAAGCCACATGATTGAGTATAGTCAGGTGCTCGAGACAATGAAGTTATGCTAATCAGGTTCATTTTTGTAGGCATTGTATCATGACAGCCATACGATTGAGTATAATCAGGTGCTCAAGAGAAAATGAAGTATGCTAATCAGGTTTCATTTCATGATGATCATGCCATCTGTCGCTCAGTTACCAACTCCATCCACAGCCAGAAATTATACAGTGATCATTCCTATAGAAGAATATGCTAGACTGATAGTGGCAAAACAGCATTCCTCTTCTACCTCCTGAGTAAATGATTACACAACAAGTACCCGCTAACCTTTACACTTGATTCAGCCTACTATCTACTTCTTCTCAAACAATTACTCTTGCCAATGGCTCATCCTCTCATGTATCTAGTGTTGGACATGTTAATCCCACTCCTAAACTACCATTGTCTTCAGCTCTTTATGTGTGTTAGCATAGGGGTATTTCTGTCTTTATACCTAGATTAATGTTGTTGATCTGTAATGTTGTGTTGGAACTAGTGCTCCTAACTTAAATAAGGGCACATATGTCTTTTCAATCATTTTTAATAATATAAGTTCTGTCTGGCCRACTRGGAGAARGTTATGTTGAGACTTCCAGTTCGAACCAGAATTTCCCTTTCTCTCTCTCTCTTTCTTCCACCTTTCTACCTCCTTCTACCTAACCGATCTCAGACGGATAGAATTCTAAGGCAGGCCGAATCATAACAATGTGGTTTTCCTTCAATCTTATTTCAGTTAGTCATCATCATCATCTAAGCCTTGTCCCAACTCCCAACCACATGGGGTCAGGTACATTGATCTTGTTTGGCCATTCCATTCTGCTCAATGCCATATCCATTGTTAAATTATGGGCGCTTAAATCATTTCTTATTACTGCAACTCAGTCCCTTTCACTCTGCCCCTAGCTCTTCTAGCCCCTTCAACTTGTAACAGACATTTTCCCTAGCAGGTGCTGTAAGTGGTCTTTAATGCACATGAACAAACCATCTCAATCTACTTTTTCTCATTTTATCACCTATTGGAGCTACTATTAGGTTCCTTTACATGGTTACATTTCTAACCTTGCCCCTTCTAGTTTAACCATGCATCCATCTAAGCATTCGCATTTCTGCCACACTCATTTTTTGGACATGCTGTTTTCTTTTATCCTTTCCTATTCTTCAATTATATTGTTTACGTCATGCATTCACAGTTCAACTTTGCTCGAATAGGCTCCACTTGTCCACTGTTAGTTGAGGCTCCAACATTTCATTCCCCCCAAGAACATCCTCATCCTCAAGGATAAGTTAAGGATAACAATTTTTCCATGTTGCATCTTCTTGAGGTAAGCTTATCCAGCCCACCAAAGGCCTCCCCAACCAGCTGCTCACCAAAGTCAGTAATAGTCTAGCGCTCTGGCTAGCCGAAGTTGCAACTGGCCATCCTCATCAAAGTCAGGAAGCAGTGCAGAAGGTGTAACAATTGGCCCAATATGCTCCATGAGAAGGGAAACATGAAATATCAGGTCAAGGCGAGAGTTTGGTGGAAGAGCTAGGCAATAAGCAACAGGTCTCTTTCTATCACCATAAAAGGCTCATAGAACTTCAGTGAAAGCTTGTGCCAAATGCGTCGAGCTAAGGATGTTTGCTTATAAGGGTGCAACTTAAGGTAAACCAAATCATTGACCCGGTATTCAAAATGACAATGCCAGGTTGCTAGTGGTCACAGTGGGCCTTCATCTACTGTTGGGTTGGGACCACAGAAGATTTTTTTTTGAGAGACTTGAGAATGTTATCCCTTGCTATAGTTGACTAACAACAGCAGCCACCCAAGCTGCACCTCATACACACGGAAGTATGGATGGAGGTATTCTACCATAGTGTGAAACGATGTCATTTCGACCAAGATGTGATAACTAGAATTATACCAAAATTCTGCCCACGACAGCCAATGCACCCACTAACCATGGGTTCTCTCCTCCAAAGCATCTTAGATAAGTCTCCAGGCATTGATTGAGGACTTCAGTTTGACCATCCAACTGAGGATGGTAACTAGTGGATCTATTTAGTTGAGTCCCTTCTAGCTTGAAGTACTCCCACCAAAAATTTCTTAAGAAGGTGAGGTCCCCATCAGACACAATAGCCTTAGGCGTCCCATGCAACCTGGTAATCTCCTGGATGAAGGCCTCCACCACTGATGCTGCAATACAAGGATATGCCAAGGGAACAAAATGACAATGGTTTGAAAGACGATCCACAACAACAAGAATGATGGAGTACCCCTTCGACTTTGGAAGGCACACGATGAAGTCCATGGAAACCTCATCCCCCACCAATTCAAGAATCTTGAGTGGTTGCTAGAGCCCTGCAAGGGATTGGACCCCATACTTTTGTTGTTGACAGACAGAGCACAAAGCTATAAAGTTCTGGTCGTATTCTTCATACCAAACCAAAAATAATAGGACAAGACCTGACGGTAAGTCCTAAGCACCCTAGAATGCACTCCTTCTGGTGAGGCAAAAAATAGGTGTAAGAGTTTCTGCAACTGGGCCAAAGATGATGATAAAACAAGTCAGCCCTTGTAAAGGAGTGCAGTGCCCTCAACTATATACCCAAGTGTTGAGGTTAGGTCTTGGGATCATTTAGGACAAATAAGTTGTAGCTTGGTGTCCTCCTATGCTTTGCATTTCAAAGTGTGCAATAGTGGGTAAATGGGCTTAGAAACCATCAAGTTACTGAATTCATGGACACAGGATAGTGCATTTTCCACCCAATTGGCTTAACCCAGCTTATATTCAATAATATAGCCAAGGCTCATTTCTGTGCTCATTATTTTTTTATCAGCAACTCAAAGAATTTAATAAAACTTAAAAAGAGGAGAGTACAACAAGTTGTTAGAAATAACACCCTTTACAACAAAGAGTCCCACCACCCTATTAAGATAGAATCCAAAAGAAATGATGTCAATTAACTCCTTGTTTAGTTAATCCATCCGCCAATCCATTAGCGGACCCCCTAACCCACCTTAAATAAATTTGCATTTC